GGGGGGGGCGGTGCCGAAATAGAGTGGTCGGGGCGGAGGGGGCACTGGGCGGGCGCTGGAGCCGCGGGAGGGCGCTGAGACGGAGGGGGTGCATGATGATGATGATGATGTGGATGATGATGATGATGATGATGGTGATTATGATGGTGATGATGGTGAAGATGATTGTGATGATGATGATGATGATGATGATGATGATATGATGATGAATGATGATGATGATGATGATGATGATGATGAAAGGGGGGGGGGGGCGGTGCCGAAATAAAGTGGTCGGAGCTCTAGACACCCTGTGCAAGAGAATAAATTCGCCGGCCCTACAGCCGTCAAAACCGGGGGGAAACCAACTAAAAGAGAACCCTGGGCCCAAGCCCTTTCCGGGAAAAACGGCGACCGGAAACGGCAAAACCAATGCTCCAGGGTTGGAACCGGAGCTGGAACCGGTCAACAAACGGCGACGGAACCGGTAAAACAACGGCGTTGGAACCGGCAAAAAAACATCAAAAACGGAACCGGTAACCCCATGCCCCCGATAATAAACCCTAAGGGATAATAAAGTTCGGGGTTTTCGGGGGGATAATCAAAGTTGCCCGCCAGAGCCAGCATAAAGAGATATCAAGCTGCCAGAGAGAGAAGGAAATCCAAAGAACATGCAAATCTATATTTGTTTATATATACATGTATAGAGAAACATGATCGACCCACGAACCCGGAAAGGAATATAGAACTGTAACACATGGCAGCGTTTTCAAAGACACCTGATTGGGTGACGGGCAAATGCAATGCTGAGTGTATCGATCTTGATGTACCCTGCCAAGGGCTGTGCTGTGCTGCGCCGTGCTGAATTGCGATGTGCCATGGCGCGACTGCGCTCTATAGCGTCGTGGATCGAGTCCTCCTTTGCATCCGAGTTCTGACCGAACTGATCTGGATCTTAAGCTCGAGCTGCCTGAACACATAGTAGCTGCCCCAGAGCTAATGGACAGGGGAACATGCCAGGAGGACGCGCCGCGAAACGTCCCAAGGGATGCGCCAGGCGACGTGCCAGGGGACGTGCCATGGGGTCGCACCGCGGGACGTGCCAAAGGGACGCGCTACGGAACGTGCCAATGGATGTGCCACGGAATGTGCCAGGGGACGCGCCACGCGACGTGCCAGGGGGACTCGCCAAGGGACGCCCCACGGAACGTGCCAAGGAACGTGCCAAATTGCAATGCTGAGTGTATCGATCTTGATGTACCGTGCCGAGGGCTGTGCTGTGCTGTGCCGTGCTGAACTGCGATGTGCCATGGCGCGGTTGTGCTCTATAGCCTCGTGGATCGAGTCCTCCTTTGCATCCGAGTCCTGACCGAACTGATCTGGATCTTAAGCTCGAGCTGCCTGAACACATAGTAGCTGCCCCAGAGCTAATTGGACAGGGGAACATGCCAGGAGGACGCGCCGCGAAACGTCCCAAGGGATGCGCCAGGCGACGTGCCAGGGGACGTGCCATGGGGTCGCAACGCGGGACGTGCCATGGGACGCGCTACTGAACGTGCTGGGGACAAGCGTTTCGCTCGAGACATCCTATCACAATCATCCGAATTCCTACGCGCGGGACGCGGCACGCGCGAGACATCCTCGGAATTCCTGCGAGCGGGACACGAAAACAAAATTGCGCCTGAGATATCCTCTGAATTCTGGCCCCCCACGAGGCCCCCGCTCGAGACATCCCCCAATTTTGCAAAACCAGCGTTTCGCTCGAGACATCCTCAACAAATTATGAAAAACAAGCGTTTCGCTTGAGAAATCCTGTCAAAACCCAAAGAAATCAAAATTCCTGCGTGCGGGACGCGGCACGCGCGAGACATCCTCGGAATTCCTGCGCGAGGAGCGCTTTTCCGTGTCGCGGTCGGCCTGCAAAACCAGCGTTTCGCTCGAGACATCCTCAACAAATTCTGAAACCAAGCGTTTCGCTCGAGACATCCCCAACTCTGCAAAACCAGCGTTTCGCTCGAGATATCCTCAACAAATTCTGAAAAACAAGCGTTTCGCTCGAGACATCCTCAAAAATAATTTCGCCGGCCCTACTCCGCGCGCGCCCGCTCGCAAAATAATTTCGCCGGCCCAAGTCGCAGGGGGGCCGGGGGGTTAACCAACTAAAAGAGAACCCTGGGCCCGCGCCCTTTCCGGGAAAAAAGAAGAGCAAGGGGGGCAGAAGGAGGAGAGAGGAGCGGAGAAGGAAGAAGCGAAAATCCAAAGTTCAAAACTTATAAGATTTAATTTGTAAGCGCTGAATGGAAATTGAGGTTTCCATCTGCTCGCTCTGCCTAGTTCCCCCAGGATAATCAACCACAGCGATAAACAAGTTCAGGGGGCAGGGAGACAAGAAGAAAAAAAAATAGAACGAGAGAGAGATAAATAAAGAAGAAAATAAAGAGCAGAAGGATGAGAAGGAGGAAGAGCAGGGGAAGCAGAGGAAGAGGAAGAAGCAAACATCCAAAGCTCAAAACTTATTAGA